TTGCACACAGGTAAACAAAGAACGAGTCAGGATAATGAAATCCAGCAACCCAAGGTACTTGTTTGTGTTCTTCTTGAAGAATGAAATGTTGGCCTCAAGCCCCGTATCCACCATTACTTACTCTCTCCAATGAGAATCAATACGCGACTAAAGATCAAAATTGACAAAACACTGGCGGAAATGACTTCACTGTAACCAACACCTTGTTTTTTTTGGAATTATCGAGGCATAAAGTGAAGTGTGCTTGTGAGATTGTCTCGCACTGCCGTCGGAGCTTATTCCTGTTTCTTTGGCGAGAAATCCCCTCGGGAGTATTGCCAATCAGGGTTACTCTCCCTCCCCAGACACCCCCCCTCCCCTCCTCTACTTTTCGTTACGTTTCCCGGGTAACTTACCTTCCAGAGATAGTTACCACGAGAACTATATGTCCAGCTTATGACCAAAACACATTGACACGGCCAGCACTCGAGCCCTGACTCACTGAATTTCATCGCCCTGAGCATAAAGCTACCGGTTCTTTACATCGTTTGGAATTTATTCGCTAAAGCAAAACGAATTCTGACATTGACGAGTTTTATTTCTGTTCATATCTCCAAGTTTTTTTTTATATATCGTTGTGCAAATATTTTCTTCGCAGGTTTGTTCTTAGAAATTACATCGCCCAAAGAGCTATAGAGGCCGCAGAAAATGGAGACTTTTCTTTGGTAAGAGCAGTGAAACCAGTAGAACCCGTCTAACATTTTTAATCTTGAAAACCGTTGCATACTTATTTGCAGGTTTATTTCGGTAAAATTTCCTGACGAAGGGCTAACGCTCGAAACGTCAGCTTTTTTACCCTTTACGGTGGCTAATTTACGTTTTCAACCCAGTTGTTAACACTAAATTACCTGTGAACAGACTAGGATGGTTTATCTCGATGGATGTACCTCTTCCAGTTGTTGACGGTATTAACAAAAACCAATAATTGGCAGTTTTTACCCGATGAGAATTAGATCTGGAATGGGACAACAGAATAAAATATATTTTTATAGCTTTGTAGTTTGTGTCTCTTAGTCAGTTTTTTCCCCAACGTTCCGTTACGTAAGCGAGATATTAATTTTGTAATATTGAAACCACTTTCAGTTTGTCAAAGGAATTTTATGAAGCTGTCAGCACAAAATACAGGTTAAACACAGGTTGCCCAAGCTCCAGCTGTGAGATGATCATCTTGTGAATAAGAGACATGGCGGAATTATAAGAGTTTGTATGGGAATTTTTACGACCGCTCGTACGAATAAGGCGAAATCGCCCTTTTAAAATCGTCTTACATGACAATTTGCGTGGTTTCACCAAAACTTTTTTAGGCCAGTTGTAAGTGTCAAGGATAAGTGTGTTTGAATTATCATTCCAAGCCTGAGTTTTGCACGAGTTTAGACGTCAAATACTCATAGCAATATTTCACCAAGGAACTGAGGTGTTAAATCATGACCTCAAATTCAAAATGTTGTCTTGCTCGCATTCTTTCCATATGTTCTTTTCGAAGCGAAAAAGCAGATTGACACGAAAACCGTCCCTTCGTCCGGATGTGCTTTCACGATACCGTTGTAAATGTTACGCATTAACAATTTTATCTGTAATGCAGGATAAATCTGAGTAAAAGGTACAGCCACAATCGACGACAAAATTGTTGACTCGTTGCTGCTGAAAATGTAAAACTCTGCGTTTGCAAACCATTTTTATCCCTTACACCCTTGCTTCTGCTCCCCCTCCCTCCCCCTCTCCCCCGTCTCCCCCCTCTTCCCCCCACCCACAGTGTTTCTCTGTTTCTTTTGATTCTAGACAGATGGGTTCATTTTCAATTTTAATGCTTAAAACTTCCCGAAAAGTGACTGCGTGACATCTGTTCCGTAGTAAGTCACAGATAACGTAAAAATGAGGTCAACTTTTCGTCCTTCTTCGCCGAAAGATCACGAAAAATCCGGTCAAAGTGCATGTTAAATTTTTCTTATCTGATACCTGTAGTTAATCGATAGAGGACTTTTCCCGTCTTCACACAGCGGATTTAGAAGAATTCAAGTCATGCAAACCTGAGGCGCAGTCGGGGCTTGCAAAACTTTTGAGAATTCTCCCAATCGTCCGAGTGCTTAGAAAAGGCTATGTAAACACAAAAAATTTCTTAATTGCTTTCTTGAAATATTTCTCAGTATGCTCGGAAAGCCTAACGTTACAACCGTGTTCAGGGGCTCTCTGCTAAACACACCTAACGATAACTATTACTTGCCCTAAAACGTTTGTATAGCGTGACGATTAGAAGTGGATTATTTGCTGAGATAATAATCAGTCCCAGAGTTCAATGAGGGATAAGAAAAGCAGATTAAATTTCGAGGCGCTGGATTCCTTGGTATCTGGCTGCATCGCTGGAAGGCTGTTGATCTGTTTTCCCAAAAGGTTAGATTGAAAATATTTTTTTCGCTTATTTTATCATTTATGGGAATATAAGCTCGTTATCATTCACCTTTTTCTTCTTCAATAGCCTGTTGTGTAGAGAAATGCATTAGGCATCAAACCAATACATCTATAATCACTTCCGCTTTTGATTTCATTCGTCGCCACGTAAAAATTCATTTTTAAGTAAATTTTTTTTACGATATGACCATTTTGTGGCGATCATTCGTTATATGAAGCAGTTTGATGTCATCTGTGATAGGTGCACAGATCTGTACTTGCGAATGGGAACCTAATTCTTCGCTCTGACGAAGGGCTAAAGCTCGAAACGTCAGCTTATTTACCCTTTACGGTGGCTTATTTACGTTTTCAACTCAGTTGTTAACACTAATTTACCTCTCAAGAAAAGCGACCGGCTCGACTTGAGGAAATCAATTCAAAGATCATCGCATCGCAAAGTTGAATAAATGTAAATTTTTAAATTTTTGTTATACTAACAGATTCAATCATAAAACGTTTGATAAAATGTTTATGATTTGGAGGATTTCTTGAAGGAACTAACATAATGTCATTTCATTCCGACCTCCACCGGCCTAAGGAAGGAAAGAGAAAAGAAAGGGTTTTTGAGCGAAGTATTTTGCGTAGCATGGAAAATACGTCTCGGAAGGAATCGCATGACTCATAAAAGGAATCTGTAATGGCATCAGTGAGTGACTAAGACCATGAATGACTTATGTCATGACGGCATGTTATTTTGTAATCCTTTAGATCCCCGCCAATTCGAGTCTCCTGGTCCTCCGTACTCGACTCGAGTATAGTTGCATTTTCTTTCGGTATTAAGCACATTTTCTATAACGAGACGTGTTCCTAGTTTGCCATTGTTTCTCCTGGCGAAACTGAAACTTTTTCACACCAGAGAGGTTAGTGAGAATATAATTATGACTGATTGCTGTATTTTCTGCTATTTTCCCAAATAGAGGAACAATTGACTCGAAAAAATGCAAACCTCTTAACTTTCAATTGGAAATTCTTATATACAAAACTAGAAATTTAACAGTAGTGTTCTTTTTTTGCACTAAACTTTCCGTGAGTTTTGATTGATTTATTCTTTTACAAGGAATTAATTAATTAAAGTAGAACTGCAAAAGAGCTTACTGCATAAGACTCAATATCCCTGACCTTAGGTGAGGATTTTGTAGATCTTGAAAATTTTTGTAATTTCAGTGGTAAATCTTTCACAGACTTACTTAAGTATAATGGAACAGCAAATTGCACAGAATTCTCCAAGCAGTAACATATAACTAAAAATTTAATGTTCACTTCAACTACAGAGTGACTCATTTGTAAGGATCAGTATACAGATTATTGTATGATGGTTATTTGGTTATGAGGTGCACTGTTTTTATGAGAAAATTTTCCTTTCCCTGAAAAATAGATGCTAGACTTAGAGTGCAACTTATAGCAAGGTATTTTGGTGCAGCCTTTAACAGTGTGTGTATATCATTTAAATTGATTGCTTTACTCTACTGTAAGTCAGTTGACAGAATTTTCACTCTTACTGTGTGTGTGTGTTAATCAGTAAGACTTATGATGGGTCTTTTAACTTTCACGTTGACATTGTCAATTTCTCAAGTTTTGGGTTCTTCTTACAACTCAAAACTTCTTACAGCTGAATAACTACAATATAGCCCACTTGAGAGGGCTTTAATTAACCAACTTATTACTGCCCAAAGGCTCATGATTTTAAGGTGTAAAGAATTAAAAGTTCTGGAAACAAACAAAATATTTTTTTCTATGAATAATCAATTAGTGTGGTCATAAGTAATTGTGATGAGCTCAATACATTGCAATATAATTTTTGTATACTAAATATGCTAAAAAAAAGATTAAAAAAATTATTTTTCCTTTGAAAGTATTGCATAAGAAATTTTAATGGGTTTCATTTTATACAATATGTTGCTCTTGCTTTGGTTATGCTGTGAAGATCCCAATACTGAATATGTACAGAACCAACTGTACCAAAATGTTTACTCTGTGTGTGTGTGTGATTCTGTTACTGGTACATGTAATGTGGTTATTTGGTCAGGAAAATGTCACTGTGGCTTATGAGCAACCAAAAGCAGTAGGGTAACCTCTTCTGGCCCAGTATAAATTCTGCTGTTCTGTTGTTGCTTGATTACAAGTACGATTTAGGCTTCCAATTGCCAGTAGTTTTGATGGGGCATTATGAAAAACTTTCTGAAAACTTCCTTCCTCTTTTAACTTAAGACCCTGCTCTAGAAGTGGCTTGTAATGCTTCTATTGCTGGTGCAAACCAATGCTAAGGGAACTCAGTCATATATGTTAAATTATTTCCCTAAAGTGAAAACTCTGACAAGAAAAATTTTGAAAATTGTTGTCAGTATTTAACTGCATTAAATTTTGAATTAAATTTTTTATCATTTTCATTCCTGTGTTCTATTGAGCAGTGAATTTGTTGTCATTACAAAGCCTTCAGTTAACATTTTTAGTGGTTCAGTGGTGAAATACTATTAATAACTTTCTTATAAATTGTTATGTGATTTGATTTTTTTCAGGAATCTCTGATCCCAAAGACTTTATTCCTTCAGCTGGCTCCTTGTCTGACCAATCAGCTGGCTTTTGGAATACCACTGTGAGGATTGCAAATGGTGTGTGGGGGAGCTCAGGTAACCATGAGGCTGTCAAATAATAATTATTATTATTATCCTATGAGTATGAACTGAAGATACCTGGAGTATTGTAATTTGTAATTATCATTATATATACAGCGCAGATTTGATGACAAGTTTATAATATTTTAGTCAATAAACTTCTATAGAGACACAATTATATAGGTATATTATTCCTTCAGAGCACAAAAACAATCCCTGATACTCTAAAGATGACAGGTTTCTTTAACCCTTTGAACCCAAAGAGTGACTAGGATCTAGCTTCTCCCTACAATATCAACCCTGAGTCACGTGTTAGGGTCATGAGAATGAAGGAAATGATTATTAATTAAAGAAAAGATTTTGATCAGTAAACAAAATCTCCTTGTCAGCACCTTAAGAAATGTGTAAAGAAAGTATGGAGAATATGCATTATGACACTTGGGTGTAAAGGATTAAATAGTGTTGAAGGAGTCAGACTGATTAGTATAGTGGAGATGTCCATCAAAGGGTCTTGCTCCTCTTTCCAGTACATGTCTAAGAGAAGCAATTACCCAATTGTAATGTTTCTTTCAGAAAACGTGCAGGTACACTTGATGACTCCATCTTTGTATTTTGGATCATATGGCATCAGCTACTCCTTCACCTCTTGCCAGTTCTGTAGAGAAGACAAATGGAGCCAAGCTCAGCCGACTTCTCATCGATGGTGGAACAACAGTTCTCAGGAACGTTTTCAATGGATATCATCCCCCAGCAAGTCTTTCAGCCGCGTTGAATGCAAACTATTCAACTCTGAATGCTCTCTTAAAGAAACGAATTTTACACAGATCACAATGGGATCTATTGTTTCCTCCAAGCGGTGCTCCTCCAGACTCCCAGACATTTGATATCACTCTTTTATTCCTTCTCTTAACCAACATTTGTAGTCTCTCCCCACCCCACTCAGGGTGGCACACCAAACCAATTCCAAGTGACAACTCCCTTGAAGCAAATCTTGCTCGCATAAAGTTTTACCGCAATGAATTGTATGGCCATGTTACCACAACTGGTATTGCTGGTCCAACTTTCTCAACTCTGTGGCAGGAGATAAGTGCTGTTCTTGTTGCTCTTGGCTTGCGGCGGACGGAAATTGATAGATTGAAGGCTGAGCATTGTGGAGAGCAAGAGTTCTTAGATGCGTTGCGGATGTGGGCTGATTCTGAGGAAGATATAAAATCACAGCTGAAGGACATACGGGATATTGAGACCAAAGTGCTGCAAACTGTTGATGAAGTACGGCAGATTCAGTCATTTGATCACGAAACTATTCGTGAAAATAAAGCAAAGCTGGTAGACGTTCATCAGTTGCAGAAGAACTTGCAAGAATCTGTCAGTATTGTGCATCATAATCGACTTCAAGACAGTAAAGCCATTCAAGATACCAAGTTAACAGTTGAAAAAGTCTGCGAGAAGCTTCAAACTTTGGAGGAGGCATCCCAGCACACCATTCAAAATTTGAATGACGAGAATGAGAGCATCTTGGATGACAAAGTCCTTGCGAAACTAGCAAAGGTGGACAATTTAGCTGAAATAAGACGCCATGCAAGCAGATATGTTGAGGGAACTCGTTTATCGATTCTTAAAGAAGTCGAGAGCTGGTTAGCTAACAAAAGTTCTCCAAATAGAGTGATTGTTATTAGCGGGAATGCTGGAATGGGAAAGTCTGTAATCTCAGCTGTCTTGTGCCAAAAGATGTTAGAGGCTGGACGATTGTCAGGGAGCCACTTCTGTCGGCATAACATGGCACGCCGAAGGAATCCCAAAGTGATGCTGCAGTCGTTGGCCTGTCAGCTCTCCGAATCGCTGCCAGAGTACAGGAAGGCTCTCGTGAAGAAGTTGTCGAGAAATGTGGGCGTTGAAATTGGAGACATGGAAGTGGAAGAACTGTTTGAATTCTTGTTTAAAGAACCTCTTTCAGATTTGAAAGATCCAGACTCTATCCATCTCATGGTTATAGATGGCTTAGACGAAAGTGAATACCAGGGGCGTAATGAGCTTTTAAATGTGACTGCGGATTACTTCAAGACGCTTCCGTGTTGGATACGATTTGTGGTAACAACGCGACCTGAAATGAACATCTTAGAGAAGATTCAAGACCTAAATCCCATACAGCTGAACCCAAACGATCAAGAAAACTTGATGGACGTTAGGCTTTGCTTTCAAGAGCAACTGGAACATGTTCTGCAATCTGATTGCCAAGATACCATCTTAGAGAAGCTTGTTGAAAAGTCAGAAGGAGTCATGTTATATACCTATTACCTGGCAGAGTTCATTAAGAAGAATGCTGTGCGTATGAGTGCTGCTGAAGTGATCAACAGCGACTTGCCATCAGGTATTTCGTCCGTTTATCAAGACTACTTCAAACGCCTGAAAAATGAAATGCAGAAAGAACTAGGTATCACCGAAGAGCAATTCTTCGATTTTTTAAGTGCCATGGTGGCAGCAAGAGAACCATTACATGTCGAGTTTGTCTACAAGTTGTTCCTTTCAAAAGAATGGTCATCGGCTGATGAGCAAAAAGTACGAGACGCAGTTGATTGTATCTCGGCTCTTCTACCCATTGAGGGCGAGTGCATTAACTTCTTTCACAAGTCAGTCAAGGACTGGTTGGTTGAGGAGTCTGCTTCGAGGCAAAAGAAGTTTATTGTTAGCGGAAAAAAATGTCATCGCATCATTTCAAAGCTTTGCAGAGATGAACTAGATGAATTGAAACTTAAAGGGATCCAGAGTTCAACACTGAAACAGACGTCGAGGTATGCCTTGCAGCATGGTGTTCAGCATATACTTGAGGTAGAAGAGAATGCTCGTCCATGTAGCCTGGACGACATTGTAAAGAATTATGTCTTGGACCTAGAATTGGTCTATGCAAAGCTAATTGTGAAGAGTACAGCAGCCATTGAAGATGTTCTTTGCGTACAAGAGAAGGAAAATACAAATGGTCTGTCAAAGAATTGCAGAGAAGCCCTTGAGACGTTATTGTTGCTGTTGCGGAAGCATTTAAGTACTCTTTCAAAACTTCCTTATGCCATCTTTCAAATTTTGTTGAATGAAGGAGGACCTGAACTGTCTGCGGAGGCATTAAGCTTGCTAAACACCAAGTATGCGGACTTACCATATATGGAATATTTGCGAAAGAAGGAGGAAAGAACAGATGTTCTACTGCAGTTTGTTGCTTCAGATGAGGTGATCTCCTTTGATGTCTCACCAAATCAGGACTACCTGGTATGCGAGTGTGGGAATGAGACAATTCATCTGTGGTCGCTCCGTACTGGCCAGCTAATGTGGACACGCTCTGTGCTGTTATCTGGTAGAAACACTCGTTTTGGGCGGTACGCAATGACACGTTTTTTTATAAAATTATTCCGGTCAGTAGTTTTCCATCCAACCTTAGACCTGATCTTACAAGGGACTCTGTGTTGGGGTTATACCTTGGTCGGAGACGTGAAACCTCTTTTCCGTTCGAGCGAGTGCCGGTTCAAAGTTTGTTCAATATCTGGTGACAAAAGCACGATGCTGACTGACTGTCTGGACGGGAGGAATTGCGTCATCCAGTGGAGTCTAAAAGATGGAAGTGAAATTAGTCGTTTTACACACAAATGCAAAATTGTATCTTTTGCTTGGTCTGCTAGTGGAAGACGGATGGTGATCCTGGATTCTGACAAGTGCGCATACCTCATTGACATGAATGATGGAGTTGAGACTCTAATATGTGCTTCAGTCTCGTCACGATATGTTAAGTTAACTCCTGACTGCCGGTTTTTTTTCTGTTTACTTTGGGATGAACGTCATCGGTATCCGAAGCCCAAGCTTTTTTGTTTAGATATTGACAGGAACACTATGTCAATGTATAGTTTGGATTGCATTTTTGGGACGAGTTCCTACCAGTACGCCTCGGAATTTGAAACTTGCAATGAGAGTGGTTTCCTATCAGGAGATCCCTTTTGGTATCCATCTGGAGGAATATTATCATCTGTGGATTTTGCACTTGTACTAGAAAAGCAGATGTTACTAAGAGTTTCCCCTCACAGTGAAGTGATTGAAATGTGTCGCCTTAATGACGTAAGGGAGTGGAGAGGTGAGAGTAGCGATGAAGCGGGACTAAGCATAGAACCCGGTGACATTACGACAGAGAGAACCGAAAATAACGATCTAACGGAACATAACCTACCAGAAATCAACCATATGCTGGAACAGAAAGCTGAAATCGATGTTCTGTCAGGACAGAGAGCTGAAGTTGCTGATCCATCAGAACAGAGAGCTGAACTCGGTGGCCTAGTTGAACAGACAATGGAACGTAACAACTCTACGGAAAAGAGAGATGAACTTGATGACTTTGTGGGAGAACGAACGGAATTTAATGACCCACCAGAAAAGAGGCTCAAACTCGATGAACTGTCAGAACGATTGGAAACTGATCCATGCAGCTTATTAGGGAATGGAGCTGATCCTTATTCTAAAGGGGGTAAGTTTCCAAAGAAACTGTGGTGCTGTGTCGGAGGGAGAGTATAACAGGGTAATTTAGTATTACCAATTGAGTTGATAACGTAAACTGGCCATCGCTATTAAACTCTTTATGGTGGCCAATTTACGTTATCAACGCAGTTGATAATACTTAATTGCCTAGATCTTTATTCTGTTCTCTCTTTCCTAGATGATCAGGAACAACAGGAACCTCTACTTGAGGACATGGAGGAAAACGGTTTTGTTGGATATGATCGCTTTCAAACAAGTTTTGTCGTTCATTTCTCTGTTGATGGTGACTCTCTTTATACCGTGAAAGGTACAACGATCCAGCGAATAAATCTTGTGGCTGGCGATGTTTTAAGTAAAAGGATCAGAAAAAAGGAATGTATGATTTTTGAACAGTCTTTAAGTGTTGTGCCCGTCAAAAGAGGTGTCCTATTTCGAACAGTTAGTGGCTCGCTTGAGTTGTGGAACTCTGATTTGTCTGTTTGCATGAAAAGGTGGACTGAGTTTCCTGTCGATGATGTTGTACCCTTATCAGAGGAACGAGTCGCCTTGAAAACGAGGAATAACTTTGATGACAGATGGGAAGTCACCATTGTAGATACAACGAGTGAACAAATTGTGTCAAAGATTGCAAATTTTGATGGTATTTTTTTGGCATGTAATAATAAATGGGAAGTGCTAACCACCACTGGAAAGTCACTGCAGCTGTGGCGTGAAAACCGAATGCTATGGGAAACTTCTACTAAGTTCAATCCATTTAACCTTACAAGAGCTATTTTTTCTCCTACTGAAGAAAACGTCGTCACTTATGGTAGAGTTGGCTCTTGCGTCCTCGAAGCAGTTTCGGGAAAAGTGATTCGTCAATTGGAGAACCCGTATGTAGATGATATTAAGTTTATCAGTAACGAGGACTGCGTTGTAGGCTTGAGTGATCTAAGAGGTTTGTGTCTTCGATTATACAACGTTAAATCTGGTGATCTCCTCAGTGAAATTGTAGAGGGACGACGATTTCGAAGTCTTGCAGTTTGTCCTCGTAAGCGCTTGGTCGCAATTAGCTTTAGAAACTCCAACCATTTTGAAATCATTCAAGCGAAGCTGCCAGGCGACAAAGAAAAGACAAACATCGAAAGGTCAGTTGAAACAAAGTTTATTTGAAGACAGAAAAAGAATAATGTGGATAATAATATAATGTTAATAGTATTAATAGTAGTAAGAATAACAATGATACTTAATAATAATGTGATAATGATAACAATAATGATTGTACATGTAATAATAACGATAACAGTGGTAGTAAGAAAAGTTAAGATGATAATTATAACTATGACGATACTAATGATAAATAATGGTAATAGAACAGAGTGGAGTCCACTTCGGTCTGTAATCATACGAGAGATAAGCAAAATCGGACGACCGCAAAGCAGGAGTCCGATTTGTCAATCACGAGGGTGATTACAGACACAATTGGACAACACAAAGTCCTATATCAATTTATCATAACCGTTACAATTTCCGAGGACAAAAAACACATTGAGGATAAAATCTCCGGTAGACACAATTTCTAAAGTGAAAAATTTCTCAATTTTGGAAATTCCACAGTTTTTTTTAGTGATAGTGGTTGTTGCTATGGTTGTTGTGATCAATTCTGTGATTGGTGGATTTGGCGGAAAGGACTCAGTATGATTGGACGCTTCAACTATCCGATCTCAGGTGTCCGATTACAGACAACTGTCCGGTTACAACTGTACAGAATGATTTGTGAAAAATAACTACTGATCACTAGTTAATTTACTAAAAAATACTCTATTACTTGAGATGTTGCCTTTGACTTAACTTCTATTATTGAATTTTTACCTTAGGTTGAACCTCCCAAAGTAAGACATCTACAGAGATTTACAGTTTCGTTGCTGAATGGAAAAGACATTGTCAGAAAGGCTTTATTCCGCTGATTCCTTTGCATTCGAGTGGTTACGATCTTCTAGTCCCGACATCTGAACAGGAGAGACCGCTGATCGAGATTGGAGCGAGTACAAGAATGATTTTAGTGACAAAGCTGTTCAAGGTTTTAAATTATATTTTTCTTGTAGAGACTTCATAAACATTTTTAACTGTTCCCAGCGTAAAGTGAAGACAAATATTTAACCCTGTAACTCCCATGATTGACCAAGATAGAATTTCTCCTTACAAAATCAATAGAACATCAACCAGATAAGTTATGAGAATAAAGAAAAATCTCAATTTTGGGATAATTTGTTGATCCAATACTAAATTCCCTGAACTAACTTTATAAGAATTGTGTGTTTGACTGTAAGGAGAATTACGAATTTGATCTGGGAGTTAAAGGGTTAACGATCTATCTTATTGCTCCTGTGGTGTTTCATCACCCAGCTACAAGCTAACAAATTGTTTTATGGAAGCGGAGTGTAGTAAGCATTTCATTTAGTGTTGATTTGCAACTCGTTTAACTCGTGAGATTAATTTCTAGAGGAAAACGAAAAAGGTAATGACAAATTGTACAGTTCTAAGAAAAACCTTAACTTCATTTTCTGCAAAATGACTTGTACAGCTTTAGACTGTTAGAGAAGAAGAGAGAAATAGCTTGTGGTACCACTGGTGATTCTCTCGTATATTTCGTGTGAAAGAGGTACTTTCAACTGTGTGTAAATAAGAACCAGCTAAATTTATATCCATTTTATTTGCACATAGCTTATACCGGCCTGGTTGAAGATGGAACCATAAAAACCGCGCAGAAATCGTTTCTCTTACATTATTTTCTATAAAAAAGAAGGATAATCAATAGGCTGTTTTTTTGTATACAAATTAGTTTACGTATGTTTTTGAAATTTGGAGACATTACTTAATTTTTGAAAATACTTTCTTTTGTCGAGAAGGTGGGCTGTAGTCACTCAAAGTGAAGTAGTTTTACAATAAAATTAAAACTGAGAAGGATTCAATGTCCAGTTGATGTGAAATTCTGTGGGCATAGCCCCAACCACCAGTAGCTGGCTGTTAGTAGTCATTTGGTAAGGTGCCCGTCGGAGTCAGGGTATCGTTGCATAGTCAACCTCACTAGGGTGGTGAGAGGCTGTAACGTGCTGACCCTTTTCTACTCCTCCCAAACGGGTACGCTAAGCCCTGACAGCCTGACCTTCTGGAGGGTTGGGGGGGAGGGGTAAGGCTTCAGAAAAATTTACTACCAGGCCGCACTATTTATGAGTTTTAACCAAAAGGGGAACTCTTATCTAAGGGCATAGCCCTAACCTCCAGTAGGTGGCTGTTAGTAGTCATTTGGTAAGGTGGCCGAGTGAGTTAGGGCATCGTTGCATAGTCAACCGCACCAAGGTGGTGAGAGGCTGAAACGTACACACCCTTATCTACTTCTCCTAAACGGGTACGCTGGGCCCTAACAGCCTGACCTTCTGAAGGGTCGGGGGGAGGGGTAAGGCTTCAGAAAAAGTTTCTACTGGGCTGCTCTGTTCATGAGTTTTAACCAGAAAAGGAAGTTTTGACACACCTTTCGAATCAGGAAATCTTCTTCTCTAATTTCCATAAAGTTATGACGGAGATAAAAATTTGAAAAGCAAACGAACATGTGCAAAGCATATTTAGTGAAATAAACTAGTCAAACCACTTTTATCTCAGGAAAACCCATAAATTAAGAGTAGAAAATGCCTCATCCATTCCTAATTTGAATCACCTCGTGAAATTCTGCTCCTTCGTGGTGGAGAAGAAACAGGACACGTCACAATAGAACATCGCAATAACAACCTATTGCTTTTACTGGTTTCCTTGTTCTTTTGGGTTTTTTTTCTTTTTGTTATCTATTGTTTTACGTCATCAGTGTCTTCTACACTAAGTAAGAACCTGATATCTAAGGGCGTCACCACACAATCCATGGCTTGGGGCACTGACAGGAGGACACCCTAACATCAGAATGTATATTCTCCATAATGTTCACTATTTATTTCCTGAGGTACTGATCAGGAGAATTTGTTTAACAATCAAGAGCTTCCTAGTGATCATTTCCTTTATTCTATGTTAAGGGGTAAATTTTTAACTCTTTAATCCGCAAGAGTTACCATCTTCCAATTTCTCCTTACAATATCACCCCTGAATCAAACGTAAAGGTTTCGAGAATTAAGGAAATGATCACCAACTAATAAAGCTCTTGATTTTAAAACAAATACTCCATGTCAGCGCTTCAGGAAACGTATAGAGAACAGTATGGACAATATGCATACTGATGTTTGGGTGTAGAGGATTGAGGAGAAATTACATTCCAATCGTTCTCAGGGGCTAAGGGTATTTATCTGTAATTAAAGCTGCTTGCCCAAAACATGTCAGTTTGGTTTTCAACGTTTATAAAATGCATTACATATGTTCGCATATCCCCTGTTATAGACCAACATATTTAGCTTTCCAAACGACCTAATTCAAAGCTACATGGGAGCCTCGCTAGTCCAAGATTTTCCCTCTATTTCCATCTCTAATACTGAGGAGGAATATTATCAGATACGTAAAAAGGAGGGCGTGGCTTCTAAAGTATCGCCAGGTTTTACTAAAGCTAAAATTTTTTAAAGCTGTGCTGTTGCTACTGCATGTGAAATGAGCTTAAAATGTTTGCAGCAAAGTGACTACATAGACGCACTAGCAAGCTGGAATGGCCGCGAGAAGAAAATACACGAAATCAAAGTGCTCTGTGAGCAAACTCGTGAATTGACAGATGACTTACATGATTTGTTGGATTATGTTTAATGTTATCTGGTTTAGGGAATTTTGTGGTTGATTGTCATATTTAGAGTACGAGCAGTAGTTCAGTGTTTGCTAATGTAGCAAAGAAACAAAGTAACGTTGGGATAAGAAGGCATTACAATTGAAATGATCCATGCTATGACATTTGACAAGGGTGAATGATGTCATGTGTTTTAAATATATATCATTTTTGTTTCTGGTTCAAAAGAAAAGATTGGAAGTAAATGTGGGTGAAAAGTGAAATTTATTGTCTATCATTGTAAATATTGGAAAATCAAGGCAATACTGTCTTAATGAAAAAATTAATGATTCCCTCTTTATCAAATGAGACATAAGGGAACGAGTGATATAACTAAGCCCAGACTGCCACCGTCATTTTGGATTTCCGCCTGGGTAGGTTTTGGTCACGTGCTAGGCAACGTATAATCAAGAAGAAGATAGAATTTAATTTCAGGCCTATTTATCAATTTTGTGGTGTATAACTTTCGCATTTTAGTACGTAATATTTGTTTTGAATCTTCAAATTGTCTTGAAACTTAAAAGAAAATCGTTCTTTAAAAATTCACTTAAAAAGGTAGCCAAAATTGTTTGTTTAGGTGTTATTTGAGTTTCGTGTTAACCTGTAATTTCGTCAGTCGCCGGCACCTTTTGTTGCTTCACACAGAAAAACCACACGATACGAAATGTAATGATCGATTTTGTCCCCAATCTCACGCCATAACAGAAAAAGCCTTTGAACACCTGTAAACTCCGCATCAGAGTAAGTGATATTTTTAATGAATCTTCGGATTGTTTTCAAGTTCAAAGATTGTAAATTACAATTTTATGAAAAACGAAGGTTGTTCTCTTATTTCAGTGTGAATCCTCTCACGCCTGCCAGACGCTGGCGCCGCGTGTTGAAACTTAAACGAAAAAAAATAAACTCTTTTAAGATTATCATTGGCTTCTTTTTCACCCCACCACTATTATTTCGGGGACCGCGCAGCAAGTTTTCGAGTGGGGGGGCTAAAGAAGAATGCGTGAAGGAAAATTTTTTTGTTAAATTAGTTTTTGTTTAATTTATTTTTATTCTTGCAAAAAAGTGGGGGGGAGGCTAAAGCCCCCTCAGCCCCTCCCTCTGCGCAGTCCCTGCATTTAGCAACAAAGGTCGCCATTTCGTTTGTTTATTACTCGCCAAATACTATCAAATGCACTCTAAAGCCTAAAATTGAAAAAAGGTTTACAGGAATCGACCAATCGAGCGAGCGAGCGAGCGAGTGCCATTCTCCACATCACATCTACAACTCGCTCTTGCGCATGCACGCAATTCACGAATTAAAAATGATTGTTCACTCGAGATCTCAACGTTGCAATACCGGTATCTCGCTGAGCCCAAGGCTGATAAATTGTTGCTTATTTCTCGT